CATGTAGCTTTAGCATTTTCCAGAGAACCCTTGGTATTTGTACTAACTGAAATATGAAATAAAAAGTAATAAAATAAAATACAATTTTTTAAGTTGTTTCGGTTCGATCGAATTGTTTTAACACTTCCTATATTGGGATGGGCAACTCTTTCGAACCATTGTAATGATAGAAATGACCAGGATTCGAGAGAGCGAGGAGACGGAGGAAAGAGGAAGGGGCGGTCGTTTCTTATCCCAACTGTTGCCCTCGTTGAGGAGCCTTGCATTCAGTCTTATCATCGAAGCCGATACCGTGTTGTGTCATGTACGGGAAAGAGAGTTAGAAGGAGGAAACACATCATTGAGAATGAGCCTCACATGCGATGTCTTTGTCATGTCAAACCCTTGCCAAAGAAAGAGGGAGAGAGGAGATCAGCTTCTTGCACTATTCTGGGTTGAACCACTATTGAGGAAGGAAAGGCAACATCAATCACTTGTGGTATCACGTTGAGCTGCGATCGAAGAAGTGGTCTCCGTGTGCACCTCTTTGCATCGATCTGAGATTGATGAAGGAGGGGCAGATGACCAAAGTATTAAAATAAGGTATGATTGAGTTTTAAATATGTTAATTTATATTTCTAAGTTTGTGTATTTATTTATCTAATTAGTTAATAAAAGGTCACTTGAAATGGGATATAAACTATAAAATTCAGAAATGGAGGGTGTTTAGTGACGTGAACTTCCATTATGAGAAAGAGGAAGAGTTACGGGCGTGAAGCGGAGAGCGAAATTCTAGCAAAACCCAAATTTTTGATTTAAGGTAAGTTGCAATTGTACTAATTTAATTAATGAACCTTATATGGATATTCAAATTTAATATTTAAATATTAATAATAGATGTATTTGAAATCAGGGCATAATTGAGTAAGAAAGATACAATTGCAAGATCGAGGATCAAATTATCTTGAAATATTAGGTATGTTTTAATTAAAGTTTAATTTATAACTAATATTTAATAAAGAAAAATGTTAATGTTTAACATCAATTGAGGTTGAAGAACATTTGGTCTAGAAGGTCGGGAGTTTGGGAATCATTGTGTAAGCAAACTAAGCAAGGTGAGTATTTATACTTTTAAATTGCAATAATATTTTATATCTTCTAAATTTATTTCTCTCTGGCTTGCTTAGAAGGTTTACTAACTCATTAAGTTCAATTGATAATATTGAGTTATGTTATTGAATAGTATGAAAATAATAGTGATATTGAAGTTCAATTTATTAAGTTAAATTGCATGTTTTATGTTATTGAATAGTATGAAAATAAAAAAGAACGAGATTTACTATTTTGATTGATTGCATGTCATGTTGACTATGATGGAGCCATCCTTTGTTAAACTAGCGGGGGAATGCCAAGTTGCTCGTGCACGTGAATAGAAAATAATAGTGATATTGAAGTATCTTAAATGGTTCAATTTCTTATGGTGATCTTGTGATGGTTGTACACAAATTGAAAAGGATATTGATATGTAAATGATATGGTAAGACAGTGAATTTTTAGAATCATATTGAATGATCATGTTAGATGGTACGAACCATTAAATGCTCTTATATTTTTACACAGTTTAATTGGAATGTTTATTATCTTTTTTTCATTGAATTACTATAGTTTATGAGTATAAGTATTCACTAGCTCTGTTTAGTTTAGTAGTTGTTTTAAACTAATTTTTAGATTTAATTTAATTGATTAAAAAATGAATAATAGTAGAGAATGTTTATAGATGCTGAAGACAACCAGAAATGAGGTAAAATTTATATTTATTGAATTAATTAATTTTCTTTTGTGCCTTTTCCATTTGTTAAATGTTAGTCATATAATGAATATAGAAAATTTTGAATTTTCACCGTCTGCCCATCCGTTTCTGTGTTGGTTAATTCTAAGCCTCGGGTCGGATCGAGAAAATAATACAGTTACTTTTGGATTTAAAATGAAACTAAGCTGTTGACCAATTTATGATCTAATTTTTACTGAAGATGGTGGGTACGAAACCAAGAAAATGAGTTAGAAGGATGTCAACCAAAATTAATATTTTAAAAATCCGTTTAGGTGCTATAGAGAACCATTCTTATTCATGCCAAAGAACTGTTTTCTAAACTAGTCAATACGTAAACTCTTTCTCCTCTTTATTCCAATTATTAGGGTCAGTTTTATTATTAATCCATTTCTTTTATTCGTTCCTTCGGACTGATGACTTAGGTTATAAATTTATTCTTCGATAACTTCTATACATGAACCTTAGCCCTGTTCTTCCTTTCTAATCATTTTAATACTGATTTTTTTTACTCTTCTAATGACCATATTTATTACCATTCATTGTAATAGCCAAATCACCCATGCCCTTTCTTAAGTCTTTTCTAGCTGTCACTCCAGAAATTCTGTCAATATATCATCCCTTTTAATATTCTTAGTTTTATCATACATCCATCTTAACATTCACATTTCATTCACAGTACATTTATGAAGCACCGACACCTCAAAATAGGAACCGTACCATGTCAGATAGGTGTTGGACTCGAACATGGCTCCACCATGGGTCAATACTTATTCAACACAGCTAAAAATGTACCAGAGCCTTACTTGAGTTCGAAACTGGTGGGAACATTGCTCGACACTGAATCAAGTGGGAGCGGGGCATGAGAACTTTACAGGCTTGCGCTTGTTGTAGCCCTAAGTAGAGGCAGATCAAGCGACAACTCAAACTTGAAGCCACAACATTCTTAAGCACTCCTTGGTACGTCACTACAATTCTCAAGCACACCTCCATTGCCATCAAAACCCACCCTACGTCAAAGCAGTAAGTTTGAGTTGCATCCATTGTGGTGACGTCGCCAAGCGGTGAGGTCGTTGAGCGTCCCTAAGCATAGCATTCTCGTCGTTGCATGATCCAGGGCTTTGTTCCTAGTATTCCTAATTCTCTGATTGTCGAACCGAGCGAACATATGAGCTGATCACCCTTTCTCAGAATAACTCATGAGGTGAGGTTTATTTTTTTTAAGCTGGAAGGATTCCTCATCACGTATTTATTTAATTATTATAGGTTTTCACTTATAAGATTTTTTCTTTTTTTTTATAATCTGAAAAGATTTCCATTCAATAACTCACTTATTTAACATTGCCATCATCAGGCCCCAAGTCCTGAATGTTAAAATTGGAGGGTTGTGTCAGGTAGTCAACAACCTACGTCAAATTTGTCAAAAAACCATGACATGAATTTCTTAAATCCTTGTCTAAATGCTATGGCGTCTTCTAAAAGCATTGCGCTGTATGACCTGAATATAGTGAAAAATGTGTAAGGACCGTTACACCGGAGCCTGGGTGTAGTGTTAAATTGAGGTTTCCAAATTATGGATGTGGGTAAATGAGTTAGTTCATGAAACTAATATTAAGATAGGATATTTGAATATAGTTACTCTCACAGCTAAATTAATGGAATTATTTGATCTTATAGTTCATAGGAAGATAAATATCTTATGTATTCAAGAAACTAAATGTGTTGGAGAAAATTCTAAGGAGATTGATAACTTAGGTTTTAAATTTTAGTGTTCTGGTAGAAGTCGCACTAGAAATGATGTAGGTGCAAGTATGGATAAGAGTTCGAAAAATAATGCTGTAAAAATTAATAGAATTGGAGATAGAATTATAACCCTTAAGATTGTTGTTGATACTAAAATTTTTAATTTTATAAGTGCTTATGCTTCTTAGATATAGGTTCTAATGAAAAATTCTGGAATGACCTGGAAGAATTAATATAAATTATACTTCTTGAAGAAAAAAAATTTATTGGAGGAGCTTTAAATAAACATGTTGGTAGAGTGATAGAAGATTTTAGAAATATTCATGGTGGCTACGGTTTTGGAGTAATTAATGAAGAAGATAGAACATTATTAAATTTTGCTTTAGCGTTTGATTTTGTTATTGCTAATATTTCATTTAAGAAAAGAGATGAGCATATCACTGCTTGTAAGAAATGATCTAATAAAACAAAAATTGATTATTTTCTTATGAGAAGAAGAGATTGTCAAAAAACTCGATCAAAAGATTTCCTACAATTTTTATTTCTTGTTAAACCTTGGTAGCCTCCATTTAATTGATTTTTAATTACAGATAATGATTGATTTGGCAACTTGAGAAAATTTTTTGTTAGTGCACATAAAAACTCTTATGTAGAAGCCTATTAACTTATGTTGATATAAATCATGTTGACATTGGTATTTAAGTGTTTTGGTGATTTTTTGATATTTTGAATGTAATTTTGATATGGTTAAAAACAACTTTTATCATTATAAAGTTTTCTTAATGATTACATATTTTATTTTGTGGGTTTTTTTAGAAAATATTAAAAATATATATTTATATTAATAATTTTTTATATATAAAAAGACATGTTCATGTCGTATCATGTCCTACTTTTTGTAATTATTTCGTGTCGCTGTACTATATCGTGTCGTGTCAGTGTCTCCGTTTCCGTGTCCGTACCATAACAGTCCATTTTGATATCATTGACTCTTTTATTTCACTCACTTAGTCCCAAAATTATCTCACAAACAGCAGTAAGAAACCTATGTAATGCAATAATCATAACACCGATTTCGTTATGATTTGATGCCAATCCCAAAATAGTTGGGATATAACCTCATGATTAGGATGACTGTCTTTCTCCTATGATAGGATAGCTTGATAGTCGGGTTTTAAAACATATTTTCTTGAACTACATTTCTGAGCATCTTCTTGAACTTATATCTTAAGGAGAGTTTTCTTCTGACCCTTGGTAGTTCGACTATTATATCTTTTAAAAAATGCTGTTATGCTTCTTGAGAAAAATTTGCTAAAAAAGTACATTTGCTGCTGTATTCGACCAGATTACTGATTTAGACATCTTGTTTGTAGGCGGTTTACTTTAAATTCAGCATTATAAAATTTTCAGCTATCATCCGCTTTACATGTGAATAATTTATCATTTGCAGTTCACGTGTGTTTCTTCTTGGTCCTTCTCACCATTACTACACTCCGAAGTGTGCTCTTACAAAAGCTACAATTTACAGGACACCATTGGGAGACTTACAAGTTGATCTGGAAGGTTGCTATTATTATTATTTTTTATTCCATATTGCTCCGTTTTTATTGCCTCTTCATGGAATATTTGATTGGTCTTTGCTAGACTATCTTTGAGTGGTCTTTTTTAGCCTATCTCTCAGTGGTCTCGAGTGCTTTTATGATATAATCAATTTATCACTGTACTTTGATGACTTCTTACTCGCTCTCCATACTTGTTTTAGTAATTGAGGAGCTAAAGGCAACAGGAAAATTTGAACTCATGGATCTGCATGTAGATGAAGCAGAGCACAGTTTGGAGATGCATTTGCCTTATCTTGCGAAAGTGTTTCAAGGGTAATTCAATAAATTTGATGTCAACTACTTACTGGCTGAAACCTGGCACTCATTTTCGAAGTTTATTACCATTTGCTGCAGCCATGCAGTAAAAATCGTACCAATTTTGGTAGGATCTCTGAATTTCCAAAATGAAGCCTTGTATGGACGGTTGCTTTCCAAGTATGTGGATGATCCTCAGAACTTCTTCTCAGTGTCATCTGACTTCTGCCACTGGGGATCTCGGTGAGTTGAAATCTGAAAAATGTCTAATTTGTCAGGTTTCAATTTGATTAGTTCTAACAAGTGGTTGTTCAAAGCTTTGGTTTTCTTTAACTAAAACAATTGAACTCATTTTATTAGAAATTAAAGATTGTTAGAGAAGGCTACATGGTTATCAATTGCTTATATTCATGTATATTCTCTCAACTAGTTGAACCTTTCTACCTTTATTTATTTCTCTCGAGTTGAAGGGAGGTCTGGCATAAATGATTAGTTTATTTTTATTATTACCTTCTGCTTGTGAGTTTGAGTTGGAAAAACAATCACTCTTCTCAATAGTAGGTGTGGTGTAAAGCTGCATGCTTCACCCCTATCTACATAGTAGGCGGGAACCTTCTGCATACCTAATGTGGGCTCTTTTGTCCTCATTTTTGCGGCTAGTAAATTGAAATACCAAAACTCACCGTGAAGTGGTCGTACAACACAAGTGCATTAAGTTGTATGCGATCTAAGAGTCCGTATATCAATCCCACGGGGAAAGTGTTAGCAATTTGGTTCCACAGAAAAATCTCTTATTTACTAATTTAGTCAACCTAGCTTAGCGTGTTCACAAATGGGTTTTTTAAATCTTAAGATTCTAGCAAGCAGAGAAATTAGCAGACAACAAAAAACAAAAATAACAGAAAGATTTTTGTGAGTTCCTTCAAGGTTTATGAGGCTCGTGCCTTTGTGATTCGGGGGTTATGGAGATCGTGATTTTCTTAAGTGTTTTCCTACGTGATTGTTGTCAATCGGGTATATAACACTCTTTATGCCTATGTCAAAAGAAGCTTAGAATCCATGAAGTTGATGCTTCCTCAATCCCCATGACATTTCGCATAATAGTTCCGTTCTCTATGGATGATTGTACAATTCCACTGAAATATGTTTATCCTCTCAGAATTCTGTGGTTAGTCTTTCGTTTTCACTAAGCAATGGTTAGAGATTGTAGCTTCACAAAATATGTTAACAACCTATTTAGTCAGATTAAGAGCAAATTAAGTTTATAGGTTAACCAACAATATAAACCATAAATGTATAAGGAAATGCTAGCAGAAATTATAGAAAAATCATGATTAAATCTACTACCCCTATATCACAAAGAAACAAAGAACGAATTTAGTCACGCATTGTGGAGAAAACTATAGCAAAGAAAATGATGCAGAAATTTATTGCATGTAACAAAAATATGTAAAACTTGCAAGAACATATTTTCTTCATAGTTTTGACACTCT